ATATAGATCAATGGAATAGAACAAAGAACCCAGAAATTGACCCAAAACATTATGCTCAATTAATATTTGACAAAGGTGGCAAGAGTATACAATGGAGTAAAGACAACCTCTTTAATAAATGGTGTTGGGAAAATTGGACAACTACATGTAAAAAAAAAAAAAAAGAAACTAGACCATTAACTTACATCACACACAAGAATAAACTCAAAATAGATAGACTTAAATGTGACTTGTGAATCCATAAAAATCCTAGAAGAAAATGTAAGCAACAAAATTTCAGACATCATACGCAGCTGAATTTTCACTGATACATCACCTAAGGCAACATCAACAAAGGAAAAAAGGAACATATGGGACTACATCAAACTCTAAAGCTTCTGCATAGCAAAAGAAACAACCATCAAAATGAAAAGGGAACCCACTGTATGGGAGAGCTTAATCGCCAGTGATACATCAGATAAGGGGCTAATTTCCAAAATATATAGAGTACTCATACAACTCAACAAAAGGAAGACAATGAACCCAATTAAAAAATGGGTAGAGGACCTAAATAGACACCTCTCCAAACAGGACATACAAAGGGCCAAGAGACATATGAAGAAATGCTCAACATCACTAATCATCAGAAAAGTGTAAATTAGAACAATGGTCAGGTATCACCTCACAGCTGCCAGAATGGCTGCCATTTACAAATCATCAAACAACAATTGTTGTCGAGGTTGTGGAGAAAAGGGGACTCTAGTACACTGCTGGTGGGAATGCAGAGTGATACAGCCACTATGGAAATCAGTATGGTGTTTCCTTAAAAAATTATAAATTGAATTGTAATTTGATCCAGTGATCCCACTTCTATGAATATATCCTAAGAAACCTGTAACACCAATCAGAAAGAATATATGTATCCTTACATTCATAGCAGTTCTATTTACAGCCCAAGTGTCCATCAATAGATGAGTGGACAAATAAGCAGTGGTACATATACACAATGGAATACTGTGCAGCTGTAAGAAAAAAAGATCTCTTATCCTTTGGGACAACATGGAGGGACCTCGAAAGTATTATGCTATGTGAAATAAGTCAATCAGAGAAAGAGAAATACCACATGACCTCACTTATTTGTGGAATATAATGAACAATGTGGCCTGATGAATGAAATAGACTCAGAGACATCGAATGGATTATGGTTCAGACTGACAAACCTCAGAGTAGGGGGGCGGGGGCAATGGATGAGATGAACCGAAGAACTTATATGCATGTATGCATAACCAATGGACATAGACAACAATGTTCGAGGGGTGTGGGGGGTGGGGCGGCATGGGGAGGAGGGTGCCTGGGGGGAAAAAGAAGAAACATCTGTAACAAAAATAAATTAATAAAAATTGGAGAGGAAAGAAAATAAATAAACACAAAAAGAAAGAAAAAGAAGGAAGAAGGGAGAGGAGGAACGTCTGGACAAGGAAGCTCAGAATGCACAGGATACAGTACAGGAGCTGTAGAAGAGCGAAAAATGTGGTGTTGGCCTTTAGTAGCTTTAGAATCCTTCCTTATTTCAGACACAGTCTCTAGAGTTTCTTATTAACTTCTTATAGGTACAATTTCCCATATTAATTTTAGTTTTATTTTGAGATCTTCAGAGTCTGAACAAAATTTCTAGGAATATTGTGTTGTGGATTGAAGTTTGCTGCTTATGAGTTGAGCTTAAAAGGGTTGTCACCTCCTGGGTAATTTCAAACCCTTTTTCGTGTCTCAGTTTCTTGCCCTGGCTGTCTAGTACAGCTGTAAGAACAGGGAGCGATAGGTAACCAACCTTCATGTGTGTCCCTGGATGAGTCAATTATTTAATTACAATTGAGTTGGAATTTCCTATGGAGTTCCTGCACATCTAAGGTATACCCTCTGACACCTCCACAAAGATATGTAGTCTCCTAAGACTACCTGAGATTCAAGTAAAAAGAGGATATGCCCTTTATCTTTGGAGCTGAAGAAGTTCGGGCTCTCATTTATCTAGTTCAATGTTCTGTTCATACTCTCAGATAGCAATTCCAATTGAAAAGCCAAAGTTAAAAACCAGCATACATTTTTTTCCTCCTGTTCTGTCTTAGCCTGAGTTATCTCAACCCTTACCCTTTAGCTCCACATCGAGAATTAAAAAAAACAAAACAAAAACAAAAACAGTTGAAAAAAAGCCAGGGCTTCTTACTTGAAAACAGAGAGGTCTGACATTCCAAGGGAAACTCACCAAATTTTACCTGATGCAAAATGAGAAGCCAGTGGGGTATATGGGCTCCTGATAGTACCTAGCATGATTTTGAGTCTGCAAGGTGGTCCTGGGAAAATTTCCTTGGAATACTGCCACAATACTCCAAATGTCAGCAAAAGAAACTTCCAAACCTGTAGAGAACGTTTTTAAAAGTGATTTTAGAGAGAAAGGAAAGGAGAGGGAGAGATAGAAACATCGATGAGAGAGAACATTGATTGGCCACCTCCTGCATGCCCCTCACTGGGGTTTTGGCCCACAACCTGGGCATGTGCCTTGACCAGGAATCGAACTGGTGACTTCTTGGTGTATAGGTCGATGCTCAACCACTGAGCCACACCGGCTGGGCTAGAGAACTTTTGTGAGTTTATTTTAGCCAAACTGACAACAACTGCCTGAATGCAAAATGTCAATGGATTGAGAAAAGACTCTGGAAAATGGCAGTTTTACCACTTATTTTATACATCAGAATCAAAAAGACATAAGAGGGTAACATAAAATTCATTGGTGATAGACCGAGGATAGTAAAACTAGGAAATCTCTGTGACTGAATAAAAAGTAAAACAAATAGACACATACTTATTTTATACTGCAGGGAATAGTATAGTTAAAAGCTGGCAATTTATAGGATAACAATAATAATGAGGGCTCTGTGGTCCCCAGCTGAGGGTAATGGAAAAAGGAAATTACCCTGCCATTCTAAAGGTATTTTATTGTGCAAAAAGACAATAGACAGGTTCAGTTAGGATAAAGATGGACTATTATCAAGAATAATACTAGCCTATGACGTGACTACCTGCCATGATTTGCTTTTAGTTAGAAGGTTTTAATTTCAGATGATCCTATGTGGTTACTTTAGGTCTCTGAGTTTGTAAGGCCACCATGCAGGCCTCCCCTGAGCTTGCCAATTTTAGTAGGTGGTCACTTTTTTTTACACGGTGGCAAGGTTGAAGCTGACTGTTTCCCTTTTTTTTTTTTAAATTTAATAATTTTTAGAACTCAGATTGAAAGATACTGTTATTACTTTATTCATTTCACACTTATCTATTTAGAGCTTAGAATCCACAATACAATAGAAGATAAGAACAAGCCTAAATCTTCACAATATGTTAGGTAAAACGTCTGAGCCAGTGGGAGATCATATCCACAACACAAGGCCAATGTAGAGCAAAATGGCTTTATTGCATGTGCCTGAGTATAGGCGGACTGAGCCAAAAAGGGTTCAGCCCTGAATAACAGTCAGGGTGTAGGTTATATACTCTACTTTTAGCTTCCAGCAGTTCCTGCTGATGTACTCTGCCTGGCCCATTGTCCACTTTGCATTTGGACTTGTCTGGTATCTCGTCTGGCATCTGCTGGGTTATCCATTGCCTTGTGGATAATCCAGATAATCCTTATCCATACGCCACAAAAGGCTGAGCAAAGGTCATGCAAGCAACATGTTTTTCACAGTTTCCACCTTTTGCAAGCTTTTACCTTTACCCTTTAAACTGTTACTAGCCCTTTTATTAGGCAGACAATATACAGAATAAATAAGTGAAACATCTAGCATGCCAAATATCATTAATTTCTAAAACTAAAGCAGGATGATAGAGTGGGAGTAGTTTGTTTTAAATATGGTGGCCAATGGCTAGTGTGGCTCAGTGGTTGAGTGTCAACCCATGCATCAATAGGTCACCAGTTTAATTCCCAGTCAGAACACATGCCTAGACTGTGGACCCGATCACCAGTGCGGGGCATGCAGGAGGCGGCCAATCGATGTTCTCTCTCATCAATGTTTCTCTCTTCCTCTCTCTTCCTCTTTTTCTCTAAACATCAATAAAGAAAAAAGAAATAATAAATAAATAAAATGAATATGGTGGCCAAGAAAGTTCTTTTCAAGGAGGTAGCATTTGAACTGAGATCTGAGTAAGATAAGTGAGTGAATTATGGAGGCTAAAAAAATATTAATACTTTTTTCCTCCCACCTTCTAAGTTTTTCTAGCTGGGTTAATCGAATTAATCAGAGAAAATAAAAGTTTTAATACACGGGCATGGGAAATTCACATAAGCATAAAAATGCCAACATTGGGTATTGTGAAAACTAAAAAATATTAATATTTTTTCTCCCACCTTCTAAGTTCTTCTGGCTGGGCCAATAAAAAAATTAATAGAGAAAGATTAACATGTGAAAATCAAAGGTTAATAAATGCTGATAAAAAATTCACATAGACATGATAAATTCATTAAAATTGCAAAGACAGTGAAGCAGCATTGGATATATAAGACATTTTGGACAAAGGAGAAAAGGTGGAGAAACAGGATAATAGATTTCAGAAGTGAGAATGGGTGATTTACAGGTAGATGAGGAAGTGCTGAAAATCCATACTAGGTGACTTGGCAGAAAAGTCCTTGCTAGGTGACTCAAAAACAAAGGGACACAGGGGTTCTCTAGCTAACAATCACCTGCCTGAAGCCCTCTCGTTTACCATACTTAATTGAAATTAGGCCAAAACAGAATCTTAAGATATTTTTCCTGAAGCTGGTTTCTGTCTGAATATCTTGGGCTGGAAAGGAAAGAGGGTCAGAGTTTCTTGCTGTTTTTTTTTTCTTAATAAAAAGTATAAAATCAATATGTCCCCCCAAAACAGCATCAGGGTAGCAGAATTTTGGTATCTTGGATGCCAGGTGGTGCCCAGGAAGGTCAAGGGAGACCTCAAACTGATGTAGGTTCTTATCACAGAAAAATCTCCTGGAGACTCACGATTGCATAGTCTGCCCTCCTCTTCTCTGAACAACAGAACTGCTTTCACGGGTGAACTGCTCTGCATTGGGATTGTCAAAGGCTATGTCAAAACCAGGTTTCCTGGAGAAGAGCTGTTCCATGGTAGCAACACAGGAATGCAACATATCTCAGTTCTCAGGACCCACTTCAGAAATTAGGGTAAAGGGGTTTAGGGTTTGGTATGCTTGAGCTCAGGAGAAGCTAAGAGAAGGTCCTGGTATTTAGTAAGTATTTCTCCCCTTAGCCAGTGAAATGTACCTTTGGCTTAAGGACAGTTTGAACCTGATGCCGAGTTTGGACGTCTAACAGTTGGCCTAGGGTCAGCTCAGTGGCTTCTTCCATTAACAAAGCAGTTCCCACTACTGCCTGTAGGAAGCTCAGCCATCCAGTTGCCACAGAGTCTAATTGTTTTCAGAAGTAAAGCACTGGCGTAGGGACGCTTGCCTACCTTTGGGGATAGGATTCCGAAGGCAATCTCTTGTTTTTCTGCTACACATACAATAAACAGTTTTTTCAGGTCAAGGAGGCCCAAGGTTGGGACCTCAGTTAAGGACAATTTCAGGGCCTTGAAGGTTTGCTTTAAGCCCTGGTTTTATTCTATGTCTCAGCATCAAGTCCTTTGATTGCCTCATAAAGGGGCTTTGCTACCAGCTCAAACCCAGGGATCCAGACTTGACAGAAAACTGCCATTTTTTAAAAAAAAGATTTTTAATTCTTATTTGTCTGGGGGTTGGCAAGATTTAGAATACCTTTTTTTTTTTTTTTTTTTTTTGTTCGAGAGAAAGAGAGAGAGTGAGATTCCTGGTTTAGATGGTAGCCTAAATATTTGACCATTGAGGAAGAAATCTGAGCCTTGTTGAGAGATATTTGTTTTGTATTTTTTTTCTCCCAGAAAATTAAGGACCAAGATAGTGTTGTGGTCAGAGTCCTGTTTGGTGGGGCTATGGATCAGAAGATCATCAACATATTGAAATGTTTTCATGCAGTAGCTCTGGTTCCCAGAGACTTTTTCCAACTGCTTGTCCAAAGATATGAGGACTGTCTGGAAACTCCTGAGGAAGGGTGGTCCAAATACATCGAGCTGCATGGGTGTCAGGATCCATCCATTCAAAGGCAAACGGAAGCTGGCTAACTATCCGGGTGAAGTGGGATATAATAAAATGCATTTTTTGAGATCTAGCACTGTAAACTATTTGGCTTTATGGGGCAGTTGGGATAAGAGAGTATATGGATTGGCTACAATGGGGTGAATGGAAATCACACTTCATCACTGGCTTGTAAATTCAGAATCATACAAATCTCTCCATTTTTTTTTTTAATTTTTATTACAGACAGTTTAGGAGTGTTATAAGGGAAATGACAAGAACCTATGAGTCCATGCTGAAGAAAATTGTGAATGAGATGTTTTAGTCCTCCATGGGCCTCGGGTCTCAGAGTATATTGCCATTTATGGGGATATCTAGCCATTTCTTTTAGTTTAATTTGTACAGTGGATACCTGGGTGGCCTTCCTAGGTAGTCCCTTGGCCCAGATTATTGGGTTGACAGCAGACTGTATATTGGCTGGGATGAAGTCTAACTGAAGGTTGGGTGAGTCATGGTTAGAGACCAAGACAAATATGGAGTTGCCATTTCTCTGGGTTAAACCAGAGAAATGGGCCATCATTAAATTCCTCTCCACTGAGGGAGAAGGACATTCTGGCATTACCCAGAATTGTTGAGAATCTAAACAGTCTTGGAGGTGGCAGCGAAGAGGTTGAATAAAAATTTTTTTTTTTAGACTGCCCATCTACCCAGGTAATGGTCCAAGCCAAGGATGTCAAGAGTCTTGTGTGTTTTGTTAGGATGGAGAAGGGGACTCCTGTGTCAATTTAAACAATTAACTTTTTTTACTTGTTGTGTCAAGAGTCATCCAGGGTTTTTCTGTAGTCACCAGATGTTTTTCATTTGGGGCCAGTAGGAACCCTGGGTTCTTTCAGCCTTATTCAGATAAATTATGTGTTCAGAAGTCCCCCCCCACACACCCCCTTCAGAGCTGGAGACAGTCCTTTTTCCAATGACCTGATTGGTTGTAGAGAGAGCAAGGCCCAGAAGCCTCTTTCTTGGGGAGGGGACACAAACATCCTGGTTTTTGGAGACATTGTCTGCTCTAATTACCCAACGCATAGCACTTAAAGCAAGCCCCTTGGGGGCCCCCCCCCAGGCATTCCCTACTCAGGTGTTTTAATGTTCTGCTTGGGTAACCTTGAGGCTGCAAGGCACAGACAATGGTAACTACTACCAATTGAGCCTGGTGCTTGGCCTGTCTAGTTTTCGATTGGGCTCTTTCATCCCTCTCGGTTTAGTCTCAATTGTTAAACACTCTGAAGACCGTTTCCTGTAACTAAGGCATCAAGGTCTGTGGACCAAATTGAAGTGTTTGTAACTTCTGCCTGATATCTGAATAATAAAATGTTGAGTAAGGCTTATCCCTCAAGGGCAGAGTGGTCTATGTTGGGGCACTTTTTAAAGGCCTCAGTCTACTTTGAAATAGAGCAGAATTTTTTTTCCCTTTTCTTGAGTTACTTCTTTTACTTTTCCGTGATTTACAGGCTTGATGACACATTGACACATTTTTTCATGCTACTCATAAGGCAGTATGTCATATGATCCCTCTTAGTGAGGGCTGCCTCTCCCACCTAGGAGTTCCAGGCTGGATCTTGGGGTGGGACAACTGTAGTCCCCACCTGGTGTCTGTCCAGTTGGGCTGCTGCCATTCTATCAGCATGTCCCTGAGCTGCTCACTACATGTTGTATGTTTTCTCATTAGTACACCAGGTACATAGGAAAATCTGAATGTCCATCCAAGACAGGTCAAAAGACATTATCAAAGGCTAAAATTCATCTACCAACTAGTGTCTTCTGAGAACTAGCCCATTTTTATTTTACATTGCCCAATGTCTGTCATCCTAAAAGGGACATGAGCTCTAATGGTTCCTGCATCTCTGTTTGCAACTTGTCTGAGAGGACAGAACTTTTTTTTTTTTTTTAAATTAATTTTTGTTACAGATGTTTCTCCTTTTCCCCCACTGATTCCCTCCTCCCCCTCCCTCCCCACCCTGTCCCCAGCTTTGTTGTCCATGTCCATTGTTCATGCATACATGCATATAAGTTCTGTGGTTTATCTATCCTCCACCACCCCCTCTTCTGGGAATTGTCAGTCTGTACCCCACTTCCACGTCTCTGGGACTACCCCATTCCTCAGACTGTTATGTTCATTATATTCCACAAATAAGTGAGATCATATGATACTTGTCTTTCTCTGTTTGGCTTGTTTCACTTAGGATGATATTTTCCAGTTCCCTCCATGTAGTCTCAAAGGATAAGAGATCTTTCTTTCTTACAGCTGCGTAGTACTCCATTGTGTATATGTACCACAGCTTTTTTATGCATTTGTCTACTGATGGACACTTGGGCTGTTTCTAGATCTTAACTATTGTAAATTGTGCTGCTACAGACATGGGGGTACATATATTCTTTCTGATTGGTGTTTCAGGCCTCTTAGGGTATATTGAGAGGACATAAATTGATGGGGCTGGATGAGAAGAGGCACAACTCCTAGTATGTCCCATTGGGTTGGGCTCTATAGTTTCTAATGGTAGTAGAGGATATAGTGGTGCATAAGGAAGAGATATAGAAGGAGGACTTATAGGCAGGGTGGAAGATGCTAGAGGAGGTGTCCCGGGGAAATCTTGATATGGGCAGAGGCCTGGTCCCTGGTCTTCATGTTCCTCTGGATTATCTATTGGGCATGATTGAGGAGATGACAAAAGAGGATCATCTAGGATGTCTGTATTCCTCTAAAGAGGACTAGAAAAAGTAGCATAGTCATAGCAGATCTGATATGAACCTCTTTCTCTGGGTCTTGGTATAGGGCCATGAAAGCTTGTGTGTAAGAGATTTTTATTTTTTCTGACATTCGCATAAGTGATCTAATTTCAGGATAGTATTGTAATTTAAGGTCCCATTTTCAGACCATGTTTCCCCATTTCTAATTTATATTGGGCCATGTCATACTATAGAAAAAAATGAGGGTTTTATTTTGTTTTGTTGTGTTTTAAGTGGTCTAATTTGAAGTCCTTCCAGTTAGCTAGAATGTGGCCTAGCAGACTTTCTCATAATGCCTAGAGAAAGAAAAGGGGTGTGCTGTGCAGGCTAGGCATCCCAACCGGTCCTCCAATTAGGGTGTGAACTGAAAATCTGCCTGCTCATTGAGGGCCAGCTAAGGCGTTCTGAATTTAGGGGGTCGAGCATCCCACATTCCCATAAGTTTGGCTGGCCTGTTTCAGGTGGCTCCAGCACTGACCAGTGAGGTTCCTCCTATCATTGACCCATAGTTTTCCATCTGGTGAGGATTTATTTACTTTTCCAGGCATGGGGAAGTCTGCTAGTGGAAGGGAGACCCTCAGAGAAAGCAGATTTGTGCTGTCCAAGGTTCTGCCCCTTGTTTTGGGGCTGGTAAATTCCATGGCCAATTATTAAGTCTGGGATGCAGGGGGCAGGCCACTATAGTCAGGAGACCATATAATAGTCTGTAAGAGTTTTAATTTGCACTCAGACCAGGTAAAACTGATTCACCTGGGGATTCTGAAGAAAGTGTGGATGTCTAGTCCCAGAAAAAAGGAGAGAAATCCAATAAGCATGTGTTTATTAAAAACAGAGGAGAAGCAAGGCAAATCCATGTGGTCAAACTTACCAGCAATTGGGGGGAGAAAATGTACTCTTTGAAGTTTCAAGTTTGGGTCTCAGGCTTTTTGTGGCATAGGAGGGGAACTTGAGAAGAGAGATTCCTGGCCGATTCCCCAAAAACTGATGATAGCCAACACCCTAGAAGGCCAAGGGAGTCCTCAACCCAATCCATTTCCTTGTCATAGAACAAGAAGGAATTCAAACACATAACAGAAAGGTATTTTAAAGCACATACATTTATTAAAACAATAAGATGCACTCAAGAAATGAGAGCCTGTGGCCTCAGTGAATGAGACATCTCAATGGAGTCTGGGTGGAACGTTTCTACTAAACATGGGCATGGTAGGGAATAGGGTGGTCTTTTGCATTGGATG